TGCCCATGACAGGGGTGTTGGAACTAGATGGTCTTTAAGGTCCTTTCCCACCCAAACTGTTCTAGGACTCATCAGTTGTTCTTCTGGAGCAATTCCAGTGAAATGCAGCAAATCCTGAATTCTCCAATGCTTGTGCTCTGCAGGGTAATTCCATGGAAGGGATTGGGTGATCAGGGAAGCTGCCAGTCCAGTTGGTACCCACAAACACCACGGGAGGTACCAGATGTTGGGGCATCCTCACAGAACTGGCCTCACTGAGAGGACAAGGTTTCAACTGACCCGACTCTCAGTTTGTTGTGTCAGGTTCTTAAATACCCACAGATACAAAACCTGACAGCTTTGAAGGTTCCCATTTTGCAAAGTTGATGTAATTTCATATATTCTCTCATTTTTTAAATGAATGTTTACAGCATCTTTCTTTAAACAATAGCAGTTGTTTATGATCAAAGCTACGATAATAAATCAGCATGTGTAGAAAGGAGAAAAGTCTTTTATTTGTATTGATCTTGCACATAGATCTGGTATTACTCAAAGTGTTTTCAATCTGTCAGAGGCTGCTCAGTGGGAAAGCACAGATCTTGAATACTGCTAAAATCCCTCTACAGTGTTGCAGCGTGCCTAAGCCTCATGGAATGCCACATTTTTAATTACATTTTTCCTGTGGCATTACAAAGAACACAGAAAAAGCAATGATCAGCCTGAGAAAGGAGCCAGCTTGGAAACTCTTCAGTGTTTGAAGGGGAAAATCTAAGAGAAATGGAGTTTAATATTTGTGCCACAGTAGAAAGCAGTGGTAGTGTTGCTACAGGCTGCATGAATCACAGCCACCACAGAACAGCTCCTGTGAACAACGTGGTAAAAAGCCAGCCAAGAGGATAAAGCAAACCTGTAACAAGCAGCTCATAAATTAGTTGCACACATCATCATCTTCCCAGAAACTTTTTCTGAGTGCACTACCAGAAATGGGGCCCACAAGATGAGTTTGCCATGGCAACAAAGTGCTGTAAAGATCAAGGTGACTTCAGCTGATACAGGGTCATACTGGAAAAACAAAAATGGTTCAGACCTAGTGATGCAAGAACATCATTATCAATTTTTCTTCAGGAGGATCTCACCCATCAAATATTTTGCTAGACATCTCGTCTGCCTGTGAGCTGTAAAGCTGCTGAAAATCAGACTTTGCTCCTGAGAGGTACCTGGGAGCACAGCAACACTTCTCATTTGTTCCTGAGTCACCAGGGAACGCTGCCATGCACCTCTCAACCTGTGCTGCCACCAGGAGGTGAGACTCGCATGCTCTACAGTGACCACAAAAATCAGGGATCACATCTCTTTTGAAGGAACTTCTCTTCTGCCAGAAACAGGGAGAGTAGGAGGCCTCTGAGCTCTCTCTGCTCCTTGGCTTGGGTCATCTCTGGCTCTCTCATGGTCCTGCTTGATCTCAGTGAGGAAAAATCCACAGGTGGAAAACGGGGGAGTCTGTTCTCACCTCAAGAACCTGTGTGTAGGTAGCACAAATTTTGTTACACACATTCTAATAATAATGAGAGAGAGAACAAGAGAGAGATTGCTAGGAAGGAAATAGACTTTAGTTTAATTTTCCAGTCATGTATTACACAACAAATCCCATTGATTTCCTTCAAGAAAAGTGCTTGATCAATGGCATGCCAATAAATACATTTTATCTTTTGTTCCTCCATTTATTTAATTTTTCATTGTATTCTTCGAACTTTGCAAACTCAACTGCATGAATTGTTGTGGATATCTTTTTTTCTTAAGTACGGTTCTGAAATTCTGGTTAAATTGACATTTCTGACATTTCCCTAACTGTGATGTCACAGTGTGCCTCCCTGTACTAGTTTCATTATCAGACTAAATGAAGTCTGTTTCCAAAGTGATTTCGTGGTTCTTGGACTCAGAATTGGCAGCTGCTGCTGCCTGCTCAGTGCAGACACTGTCAGGTGCTGAATCACAGAATTCTTTGGGTTGGAAGGGGTCTTAAAGGTCACCAAGTTCCAACTCCCTGCCACAGGCAGAGATGCCACCAACTAGATCAGGTTGCCCAGGAATGAGGGAGGCTCCTAACTTTCCTGTTCTCTCTGGAGCATTTGAATTCAAAGCGCTTTTAATTTAATATAATACATTTTTTGCTTTTTACACTTAGGACTTACTCGTGATTCCTTTTAACATCTATATTCAGCTGTGAGTAAAGTCAGTTTCTGTCTGTACCTGAAAATATTGCACAAATCTTTATTCAGAATTGTTAGAGATAATGGATACTCAGTGGGGCATTTCTAGAAGTGTTACCAGTGCAAATGGCCTCATCTGGGCAATGCAAAGTTTGATTGCAATTGCTGTTCCCAGGACTGCTTGGAACCTCAGCTGGAATAAGTGCCCAGCACCACATCCCTAACGAGAATCATCCACCCAAGCAGCCCCACTCAACAAAGCAGGGAAGAAAAGCTCTGTCCAAAGGGCTTGGAGGCATTTAGCCAGGAAAACTTTGGTGGCCTGGGATCAGAGCCACAAAATCTGCATTCCCACTGATGTGCATCCCCCTTCCAGTGCCATGCAGAGGTGCAAGTCATGCCAAGTGGGGACCATGACTGCTATATTCTCTGGAAATAACTGTAAAACATCTTTTGGGAATCTGGGCTAGAAGTGACTAAACAGAGTGATAGCAGAAAAGAAAGCTTGCATAGGAATCAATATTTCCTCTAAAGTTAATACAGTTTTGGCAAGAGTAAAATTGCTGGCAAAGCAGAGCCTTGAAAGTTTTATGCACACCAAAAACCACATCTTGAAGGAAGAGACAATTTATACTATTTATTTTGATTTGTAACATTCCCTGGTTTTTTGCTGTAATATACACTTCTCAAGGAGAAGAAGTAGCCATTTGACCATACCAGGGCACAAGCCTGTCTTGTACCAGGGATGTGGGTACACTGTGGGTAACCAACCCTGTCATGCTCTGGGAACTTCTTAGAGTGACAGCAAGGTGACATCAAGACCTGTTTTTTGCAGGGACAGCGATGGCAATCACAAATAGGAGGCCATGAATAGTCAGAGGATTTAGGTCTGGTTAGTCCCAGCTTGAGGCAGAGAAGATGGACTAGGCCAGCCTGCAGGAATGCCTTGCCCACCCTGCAGGGCTTGAGCTTTTAATTGCCCATGAGTGGCCAGAAGTGGACACACAGTTTGCCAGCAGTGGTGGGACCTGATGGCTCAGGATTTGGGACTGCTGTTTGCCTGGCCAGAAAGGAAGGCAGCTCTGGATGCACCCTGAGCAGCTGAAATGCCCCCATCTTTTGTAACTCTAACTTAAATTAGGGTTAAAAAGGTACTTTAATTAACCTCCAAGTACAGGCATTCACAGAGCAGCCATGACTTCCAAACCCGTGACCCGAGGTGAACTTTGTGTTCTGCTAATAGCTCTGCAAACCACTGAGGAGACACTGGGTACCTCCTCCCTCTGTGGAAAGGCAGCCTCAGGTCATTTGAGCTGGCCCACGCTTAGGCTGGTGGCTCTCACACCCTTAATCCCTGCAAAGCTGGAAGTCAGGAGGGTGACTTTGCAGGAGAGGGTTGTCCCATCACCCATCTCCTCACAGCCAGCCCGGAGGGGATGAGGTATCACCCTCAGTCACTGACATGCAACACGGGGACCATCAAGACCCACACCAGCTGGGCAAATAGTCCACAAAGCAGACAGTGCCTCATCCCAGTAAAACGAAAAACAATTAAACAGGGAATAATTTAAAAACCCTTTTTATTTAGACCAAGACAAGAGCTAGGTAGGATTTATGAGCTAAATTTTTGGTTGGAAAGCCAGTGTGTACTTTAAAGCATTGTCAGAGACCAAGAGGATACAGTCTGGAATACTGTGTTGTAATAATTTGTAAAACTGCATGAGACAGATTTTTTTTAAACCAATTACTTCCCATCCATTCTTGGACAGATGAGCCCCCAGCTAAAATTCCTTTTCATTCCGATGCTTGTAACGATGAAGATGAAATGTGATTTTCCTTCTAACAAATGCTCCAAAAAGCAAAACCAGAAAAAACATGTGTTTCTCTGTTATGAAAAGTAGGTCTCAGCATGCTGGAAATCCTGTGTTTTACTTACTTTGTACCACAAATGCCCCATTTTTAAAGAAATGAATAATGTAATAATTTTCTCTGATTTATGTTTTCTTTTCTGCCTCATTTGGCACTAATGGTGTGTTATTACAAGAACAACTGTCTCTGCAAAAAGAATGATCTTTAGATTTCTTATCCAAAACCTGTGAAGTCATTGGGACAGAACTGCAGAGAAAGGCAGAGAGGCCCTGGACATGAGCAGCAGTCGAACACTTTCCCACTGACCAGGCAGATTTCCTTCTTGGCTCCCGACGACACAGAGCTGCATTTTCCTGCACCTTCCCAAACAAAGCTCTCCTCCAGGTAGGGTGTCCAGAACGCGATTGGCAGTTTTCAGAAGCGATAACGAAACGTGGGTCAAACAGGGCTCGGCAGAGTCCCACGAGCACAGTCAGAGCCTGGGGACGTCTTCACTGCCGAGCATCCCTGGGATTCGACACGGCCGCCTGCCCCTCATCAGCATCAGGATCGCAGCAGTGCTAACGAGTGCCACAGCTCCCGAGCCCCCGAGGCTTCAGACGTGTGCTGGCAAGCCGAACAGCAACGAGCAGCATCTTAACAATGAACTTGGAGAAGAATCTGCAGGGAATTAGTGTCAGGCATGTGTAAAGAGGGTTACTTTTCCCATCTCCAACACCTATAATTACATCTCAAAGGTGCTAATAAAATCCGGTGGTTACAGTGGGGTTTTTTTTTCTCTGTGTGTCAAAGTTAAGCATGCTGCCGTGACGCCTAGGAAAAATCAACTTTCTTACACTTCAAATGGCCACGCAAGCAGCAGAAGCGGTGACGGTGTTCCCCGCTGGGTCAGAAGGGCTGAGGTGCGCTCCGGGCTCCGGGGGCTGCCCCGCCGCTGCCGCCTCAGAGGTGCGGGGCGTAGAAGGGGCCGAGGTACGCGGGGCCCAGGAAGGGCGCGAAGGGGCCGGCGCCCAGCGGGAAGGGGGCGGCCGGCGGCACCAGCACGTTGGCGGCGGCGTAGGACGGGAAAGTCTGGAAGGGCAGAGCGGCGGGGCCCGGCGGGCTGGGGCTGCCGCCGCTCGCCGCCGCCGCCGCCGCGGGGGATGCTGCGGGGGCCGCCCCGTCGGCGCCCGGGTGCTGCTTCTTCCACTTGGTGCGGCGGTTCTGGAACCAGATCTTCACCTGCGTCTCGGTCAGGCTGAGCGACAGCGCCAGGTTGAGGCGCTCGCAGACCGACAGGTACCGCGTGGCTCGGAACTTGTTCTCCAGGGCCACCAGCTGCTCGTAGGTGAAGGCGGTGCGCGCCCGCCGCGGCTTGCCGCAGCCCGGCTCTGCCCGCCGCCGCCGGGCGCTCCGCGGCGCGTGGACTTGAACTTGTTTTCCAGCGCCACCAGCTGCTCGTAGGTGAAGGCTGTCCGCGCCCGCCGGGGCTTGCCCGACTTGGAGTCCGAGCCCGTCCGCTTCCTCTTGGGCTTGGCCTGCGGGCCGGGCTGCGCCCCCACGGGCGGCGGAGGCGGCGGGGGCGGCGGCACGGCCCCGGCCTCGGGCGGCTCGGCTCGGAGCGGGCCCGGCCGCCGCCGGGCGCTCCGCGGCGAGCCCGGCTCCTCCGGCCCGGGCGGGCTCGCGGCCCCGGTCCCGTCCCCGCTCGGGTCCTCCTCGTCGCGCTCCTGCCCCGCGTCCTCGGCGCCGCTCTCCGCCGGGGCGTGCGCATCTAGGTGAGATGGCGGAGATCGTCAGGGGATAGCAAACCCTCGTCCCGTTCCCCCTCCGAACCCCAACTTCTGCTCCCACATCCCTCCCTCCCTCCCCCCAGCTTAAGGGCAATCACTAAAAATAAAATAAAGGGGGAAAAAATTCCGCCCGTCGTGCGAGGACCCCCCCCTCGCGTCCCCCGTTGTGCCGCCGCATCCGCGGTGGGGAGGGGGGAGCCGTCGATATGGATTTCTTACCAATTAAAAAAGAAGTTATTAAAGTCCTCTTCTAAAGCGAAATAAATCCCCTCCCCCCCCCTCCCCATCCCTGCGCTAATGGAGTTTCAGATTTGCGAGGGCCAGATCGATAGATGTCATCTATTAAAGGTAAGTTTTAATCGAACAATATTAGGATCAGGCCGGGGGAAGGAGGTTTGAAGTGGGCACCTGCAAGCTGCGGGGAGGAGATAGGCGGGAGTCGGTAATAGGATATCGATCACCGGGAGCTAAGGCATCCTCCGGTGGGGACGGGCTGAGCAATTACCCAGCCGGCCGTCCCGCGGGCCGGGGCATCCGACCGCTGCCGCCCGGGGAAAGGAGCGCCGGGGGCTGGGGGAAAGAAACCCGTGCGGTGCCTCGGTAAGAGCCGCGGCCCGCCCGGAGCCGGGGTGGGGCGGCGGCGCGCCCTGATGCCGGAGCATCCCGGAGAGGATGCTCCGCACGCCGGGAGCCGGGCAGGGCACGCGGATATCGACAACTTTTCCCTTTGCATCACCAAGACTTAAAACCCGGTTCCAGCCCCCCTTCCCTCGCTCCTGCGGGACCCGGCGCGGGGAGCGCGTCCGGCGGGCGCGGGGCCGAGGGTCCCCGTGTGCCACCTGCGCGCCCCGCCAGCGCCGGCCGGAGAAACGCGAGCGCCTTCCTACCATGTGCCTCTAGTTTATTCTTCCCGCTGCCGGGAGCAGCAGCGTCCTTTCCTACTTCAACTCTTCCCAAACTTTTCTCCCGCTCGCCCGAGCGGGGGGCGCTGCCCCAGCTCCCCGAGGCCGGTTCGCGTCTTCTGCTGAATTTCTGGGGATCCAGGATGTCTAAGATGGAGAAGGAGATTTTATGATGGATGGGGGCCGCCTTGGCCCCGCGGTCCGGGCATTCCGGCATCCCACCCCACCCTCCGCGCTTCCCGGAGACCTGCTGGCTCCCGGCGCGGAGCCGCGGAGCGCAGCGCGGGCGCGCAGCCGGGCCGCTCCGGAGCCGCACGCTCGGCGCTGGCGGCGCGGAGTGAGCGGCGGGGAGGAGGGTCGGCCGGGGAGGCGGAGGGGCCGGCGGCGGGGTGGGGGCAGAGGAGGGGGCAGCGCAGCCATTGGCACGCCGCCCCCGCGCCCCCTCCCCGCCGAGCCGGCTCCGCGGGGGCGCAGCGGGCGCCTCCCTCCATCCCAACCTCTCGGCGACGAGGCTTTCCCGTTACCTGCCCCGGGATGGGCGGGGGGAGTGCAGGAGCCCCTGGCACCGGAGCCGGGATCTCCACCGAAGCAGGGATGCAGCTGCGCCCGGCAGCCCGACGGCAGCTGTGTCCCCTGGTCCTGGAGTGCCACCGGCTGCACCTGTCCCCTCGCCCTCCGCTGGGCCACCTGCAGCTCGCCCGGTCAGTGCGGGTCCAGCGGGGCGAGCCTCGTGTTCAGGGGGTTCCAGAGAGGAGGGATGGCTCCTGCATGCCTTTCCTGCACTGGATCCAAGCTCCAAGTGCTCCCTGTGCCAGCAGCCCCTGTTTGAGATGTGAAGCTGCTGCCTGGTCCTCAGGGAGAAAGGAGCAGTTTTTTGTTTGGGAGCAGCTTGGGATCAGTGTAGCTCAGACTCTGGGCCACTCCTGCAACTCTCCCGTGGTGTTCACACTGTTCCCAGTTAGTAGGCAGGGGAAACTGAGGCATGCCTGTGCTGGAGGAGCTCCTACCCACTGAGCAGGCCCCTAACCAATCCTCCTTGTCTTGGAAAAAACACTTCGTTGCCTATTCACACTATAACTGGGACAGAGTAGGTGACAGCAGGCCGAGACTCCTCACTCTACACCAGCCCTGTGACCACTTCTAGCCAGACCTGCTTATTGAAAACACGTTTACAGTGTATTTCTGCACACCTGTATCTGTTTGGGGGGATGCTTTTCCTCTCCTTGGCATTTCAGTGTTTGTTGGTGCCACAAATCATCAGATAGATTGGGGAGAGGCACCCTTCAGCCAGGGAAGGCAGCCCTCAGTAGGAATCTGCTGCTCCACCTGTTTTATTCCAATGGAGAGATACAGAGCACAGCCCTCCTCCTCCTCTTCATCACTCTCTCAGCCTCAGCAGAACTGGGCTCACAAATAATTCTTGGTATAGGCTTAAGATAAGAGGAAAGCAAGATGAGATGATAATGTGTAAGGGTGATGTGATTAAAAGTAACTGTTAATTATTTAAAAGCCCATTTGGCACCAGCCTCTGGGGTAGAATACCACAGGAATGTAGAAAAGAAGGGAGCTCAGGCCTGAGGAGTTCACACCCACAAGCTACAGGTGGCTAAAGCTTGGTTTTGGGGATGTGGGAGGTGGTGAACTGGGGAAAAAATCTGGTATATGTGAGACTACAAATACTCGTGTTTGAGTTGTTGGGTCTGCAGGAGCTGAGAATGTAAATTGCAGCATTGAAATTAATCTGTGAGCTACAAGACGTTTTCAAATATCATCCGTTTCACCTGTATGTACACAACAACCTGCAAACAGACATGCATGTGGAAGGACACATACTCATGGATTAGTTCCAGCACTCTAAAGTTGGTCCGTTTCCCAGCTCAGGCATTAAAATTCAGCCCAAGTGCTGTCTTTAAATTGCTTTGATGCTAGGTGGGTTTCAACCCTGACCTGTCCTGACGGCAAGTGATGGCTGTAACAAGCTGTGGATCAATATTCATAGCGGGTGTCCTGGACTGATAACACTATCCAAGACAATGTTCACTATCGCTGCAGACAGCTGAGATATTGTGCCATTAGTAATGTTGTTTTAAATAACCTGATCCATTTCTGAGTCTATTTAATGAATTTCACAGTTTAGATATTATCTTTAGGGAGAAGCCAGAGGCTATTCCAGAAGCAGTGATGCAAATCAATGCTGCCAAGGCTCCTCTGCTTTCCTTAAAACAAAACGGACTGTAATTCCACCACATCTTATACATTCTGGGAGTCGTGCCGTGCTATTGATGGCATTAGCGACGAGAAGATATTTGGGAGAAAACAATACTCTCCGTAAAGCTGGAACACAGCTGATAACATCTTATCTGCAGTTGTAAAATTCTTTACACGATGACTCAGTGGGGGTTTTTCTTGGTTGTCATACGAACCACAGAATGGGTTCATATAATGCCCCTTCCAATGGGGTTGAAAGGGGGCGTTAAAAATAATCTAATTTCACTCCACTGCCACGGGTGGTGATGCCACCCACTAGGGCAGGACGCTCCACATCCAGCCTGGCGCTGACGGCTTCCAGGGCCGGGCCAGCAGCACTTCCAGCGCGCTCCGCCCGGCTCCGGCGGCGCAGCGGGGCCGGGACTGCATTTCCCGGCGGGGCACGGCGGTGGCGGAGCGGGGCCGGGACTGCATTTCCCGGCAGCCCGGGGCGGCGCGGCCATGGCGGAGCGGGGCCGGGGCTGGGCCCGCGCCGTGCGGGGGCTGCTGCTCGATGTCAGCGGGGTCCTGTACGACAGCGGCGCCGAGGGCGGCGTGCCCATCGCGGGCTCGGCCGAGGCCGTGCGCAGGTGGGTGCGGGCGGCCGGGGGAGCCGAGGAGAGCGGCGTGCCCCGGGTGCGAGTCGGGCCCCGCTGCGCTGTGCGAGCTCCGCACGGGAATCGGGAGGTTTTGGGGGCAGATGGGTGGTTTTGGGGGTTATTGAAGGGAAGGGAGCCCGCAGGGTTGGTGGGGAGGAGAGTTTGGGGCGGTGCTGCCCGTGGTTCTGTGTTTGCTGGTGTCACTGCACGTGTGGCAGGGGCTGGCAGCGTGTAGGGGATCTGGCGCTGTCGCCTGGTAATCAGATTTTTTTCAGATATTACCCGCACTGATGTCTGTAAATTTATTAGCTCTGCTGTCAAATTAGCTGGAATTTGCAACCCCGCAGTGGAGAATTTTTGTGCTGGGGTTAATGATTGCCCAGCTTGGAAGTGACTCAAAAGCCAAGTGTGGTCCTGGTGAGTTACTCCCAGTGCCCACAGGTAGGGAAATCCTTCGCTTTTAGCTGGGTGATGCTGTCCTGGTAACATGAGCTAAGTAACTTTAACTTAACTAACTTTTATTAATTAGGCTGACTTGCTAGCATGTCCATATTGGCCCTGCTTGACCAGAGGAGCAGGATGGGGCTGGGGAGAGCAGTGGCCCCAGGGACAGCTTTGTTTAAAGTCAGATATTGATTGTCTGCTTGTGAATTTCTGCCAGAGCCTTTTGGCTCTCTGTGATGTTTCATCACCCGCTGTGGAAAATCCTGATCTGTTTCACCTGGCAAGTGCTGGATGGGGCTTGGAGCAGCCTGGGATAGTGGAATGTGTCCTTGTCCATTTCGGGAGATTGGAACTTCAGTGTTCCTTCCAACACAAACCATTCTGTGCTGCTGCATGTACCCCACTTGCAGTGTTTTAAATGTCTTAAATTCTGAACCCCTGTGAAACACTGACAGCTCTGCTTGGTGGGCACCTCTGCAGCTTCTGTCCTCTGGGGCCACTCAGCACACACACACTTGGGACGGGTGGATTATTGAGCAGGAAAACATGCAGGAAGAAATACTGAATTCAATATAATTAATCATATGAGGTTAGTTAAATATGTGCCTAAATGTTGGTGGAACTACCATGGAAAGGCAGAACTGGAGAAAATCCAAATGAAGTGGTAATAACAGAACTAATTTCTGCTTTCTCTCCCCCCCCCCATAATTATGTCTTTGTTCATATTTCTTGAAACACATGTAGGATGCACAGAAGATGTTATCAGATGGGTCAGAGTTCCCAGTGCTGTCAGAGAGGAATATTTGAAATAAGTTTAAGCCTTATTGAGGTTCCTGGCCAGTTTCTGGCTCACCTGGCCAGGAGAAGCTGCAGGTCAGGACAACCAAGAGGACAGCAGCATTCCCAGGGAATTCAGTGAAACAAGGCAGAGGGAGAAGTTGCTTCTATTGAAATCCTGTGGCTCTTTCAGGGGTTTGTGCATGTGCAGAGCACAACCTGGGACAGTCCAGATCATAGCCAAGGCCTCCAGGCATGGCCAAACCAAGCATAAATAACAACAACTGCATGAAAACTGGCAGAGATAAGATCATTCCTTTAGAAACCAGGACATGTTCAATAATACCTGTGTTGTGGTTCACCAGATGCTTTTGACGTTGTTTTTTTTTGCTCCTAAATTTTAAACTTCACCTTCTGTTGGGTTGCAGGCTCTTATTTAATAACTTTTGTCACTGCATTTGCTGAAACCTTCTGTGTGGAGGCAACTTAAACTGCAGTCTAACTTACAGTAATGTGAGAAATATGTTGATGAAACAACAGTAAAACTCTGGCCTTGGGCTAAATGTAGGCAAATTTTCTCTGGACATCCTGGGAATGTCTAAGCCCTTTCTGCCTGTTAGTCACAGGAAGCCCTTGGCAGCTAATCTGACCTGTCTGCCTGCCTGGAAAGGCTGCAGGGGTCTCTGAGGAGGGTTTGGAGATGCAATCCAGCAAAAGGCTCTGGAATGCTGTGCAGGGAAAGCTGGTCTCATTTGGGCAGGATTTGGTGAGCAGTGCAGAATCAGTGTTCATAGCTGTGGGAACTGGGAACAGCAGAATGGGAAAGTGCCAGGTAGGGTAAAAAAACCCCACCAAACCACTTTGTTCAGGTCATTCAATGTAAGTGGTGAAGAATAATCATTTTCCTTGGGTAAAGTCAAGTAGCCTTATTTATCTGCCTGTTAGGTTAGTAATTGTTCTGGCTCACACCATTTAAACTCTTTATTGACTCATTATCCTATTGCCAGTTGCTCATTAATATCTGCGTCTGCGTCACAGTACAGCTGGGTGGTTTCAAGCAGATGGATCAAAGCTAAAAGGAGCTCTTTTTAATGAATTCTTTTTTTAATCAGTTAAAGAGCCATAATTGCAGATAGTGAGGAACCTTATAAGTAATTCAAATTGCTGTGGTCCTCTGCTAAAGCAGCTGTCTGACATCTTTTAGCGTGTATATATGTCCAACAGAAACCTTAAATCCCATTTTGATAACTCAGAGTACAGATAAGGACCCTTACAGCAGAACAGCTGACCTGTTCTTTCCAGACTGTCTTGCTACATCACCTCCCCATTACAGCAATTAACTTAGTGTAACAACATACAGTACATTCCAATAAAAATGATAAGTAAACATACTAATTTGTCATTGGTTTCCTGTGACTGAAGCTGTCCTGACCTCCTATAACTACATTTGCTACATTATTTCTCTTGTTTTCAGCTGAATTCTGCTGTGCAGTTATTTGAGTTAGTGTTTGAGAGAGCAGCAGCCTAATTTCTGCCAGCAGAATTTGGCCTGGTTTCTGTTTGTGATGGCTGCTTCCCTCTTGTTTGTTTGTTTGTTTGTAGCCAACAGTACAGTCAGATGGAGCAGAAACATGGCCAGAGAACCTGATGGACACTGGAACACCCCAAGTCTCAGTGCTGTAGAGACCCTCCTGAGCAAGGCATCAATAATTGGTACAACCCGTGGTGAAACACTGAGTGTCACAGCTGGGAATGCTATTTTTATTGCTGATGTACCTGCAGCCCTGATAAATCTCACCTGTGAAATACTGAAGGATTCAGTGTGCACCGAGGAGAACCACAGGAGTGTTTGTTGAGCAGGGCTTGTGTCCTGTGCTCAGGGGATGAGGTGAATCTGGATCCTTGCTACTCGTCCAGACTCAGCCAGGCACCCATATGCCAAAGGGTATTGGCACTCCTGGAGCCAGGAATGCCTCTGAATTCTCCAGGGACTGTTGTTGTTATCTTTAGGTGGAGATATTGCAGCAGTGGATGGCTAAAAAAGCCAAAAGTGGCTCAATAAGATAATTTATCCCTTTAAAACTTTTAAGACATAATGTTTCTTGATTGTTTAACTTGCTGTGGCAAGTTTTTTGTTTTGAAAAAGTTACATAAACCCCACCCACCTCTTCCCAGCGTGTGCAGTTCCCTGGCAGATGCTTTGGAGCAGATCAGAAAGCCCATGGATGAGATCAGAAGGGCCATCGGTGACTTAAAGGCTTCTCCTGGAGCCAGCCCTAACAGAGCCCCAGTGCCGTGCTGTTATTGTCTTAATCGATTTACACAGCATTGACACGAGGTGAGCTAGCTGCTTTTTATCTTGCAAATAGCCAGGAGCTGGTCCCTTATAAGACAGAAGGTGGTTAAACACCCATAAAAGATGCTCAGCCTGTGCTCTGGCATTTGCATTTACAGCTGCGTGCTGATAGTGTGTCCATTAGCATATCCATATGAAAAGCACACAGTAGTTGGAGGTTTACAACATCCTGTTGTTGGGCTGGGATGGTGCATCTGTTAGCACAGCTTTCTGCAGAGCCCTTGAAAAGGGCAGCGGAAATCTGGGGAGCAGGGAGGCTGGGGAGCAGCTGGACACTCCTGTTAAAATAAAATACCTGGAGAGCCTCACAAGGAGAAGATTGTGAGGAGAACAAGCGGAACTGGGACTGTAAAACAATTCAGGGTGTGGGGGTTCAGAGGAGCTGGGAGCTCACAAAGAGCCTTTTGGAGGTGTGTGTGCCACAAGGAGTAGGAAATCTTTGTTGTCACACAGATAATGTGGCTTAGCACAGGCTGTGCAGATATTCAGAGTTCCAAGGCTTGCTGTGCCTTCGGGACATTTGATAGAAAAGGAGTTGCTCCTCCTAGAAAGAAACCTTCAAATAAAGTATACAGACCCTTCTGTAAGTATCTGTTGATTTGTTTTTGTACTTGACTCTCTTTGCACTTTCTGCGCAAAGAAACCCAGTGACCCAGATGTCACTGCCTCCTGAAGCAGCAGACACACAAGAAATGAAGCATTCTGCATTGTCATGTGTCTGTTCCCTGGCAGAGCCAGAAGGGGATCCAGGAATTGACTCTCAGCTGCACTCCAGTCTGTAACATTAGCTGTGGTCTCAGTTTTCTGAGAGCAGTGGGTGTTCCTAACCCATATGTACTTTCCTAATCAGCAGTGTCCTTTATTTCTTTATAAAGATTTGTGTCCCTGAAATTGTGGGTGCTCACCCGCTTTGTGCACAAGTTGCATGAGTGCTTGCATTTTTGGAGTTCACACATCCTTAACACTCAGGGTCTCAGAAACAGAATTCCTTCTTTACAAACAGGTGCTCTTTGTGCACAAAGTGAGGATTCAACCCTGTCAAGGATAACTTGTTTTTGAATGAGTTTTTAATGGAGTAATTAGCAGCTTCATAGAATCATAGAATGGTTTGGGTTGGAAGCATCTTTAAAGATCATGTACCCTCCTTTTTGCACAGAATAAAAGCTATTGGAGTATCATTCACTATGTTGTCCATAAAAATATTTTACTTAATGCAAATATATCCCAGACCTGCTCATGCTAACTGAATCCTCAAAAATCTGTTTTTTTTCCTTGGCAGCTCCCAAAGTGGAGATTTACCAGCTATTTAAGGTCTGCCAGAGTTTACTTATTGAACCACTTGCAGTGTGGTTAAAATCTTTTAGGTGTAATACATTAAGCTGATTTGGTAATCTGCAGTGTTAGATGCATCTTGTTACTGAGCTTAATGGACCAGAGAGATTTTTCTTTTATTCTGCTTTGTGCTTCCTTTCTGCAGATTTCCTTCAGAAACACATGTTACTTTTATTGAATACTGAATTCTAGATTTCACTGTTGTGGCATATTGCTGCCTACAAATCAATTGTCTTCCCTGCTGTTCAGGAAGGTGGATTATGATTTATGGTGTTGGATAATTTGTGCAGTAATTCTGGTATCCAGCTGTATTCAATGGCCTTTGTAGAGAATTCAGGACTTTGTGTTTGCTTTAGTGTTAAAACTTCCAGGATTTCTTTCTCCTTCTGAAAAATTCTAAATTATCAAAACACCTAAATAAAGGCATTGGTGGGTGTTTAAAGTCTGCTTTGAGCTACAATTTATTGGGTTTTTTTTTTCAGTTTTTACTGTCAAACACTGTCTCAAAGTGGTGTTTCCAGAGTCTTTACTCTTAGGACTGTACCCTTGCTTTTATCACCCTTGTCCACCCTTAAGTAACATTCTTGTGGCTCCTTCATGTGTGCCTATTAATCTGCTTTTACTCATGTGCAAAGGTAATGCCCTCCTATTTTTTAATCCCTTTAGCAGCCCCTCCTTTGGATTGCCTCCAAATTATCCCCTTCTATATTTAGAGAGAGGTGAGCCATATGGGGCTGGGGAGGAAATGGTGCTGGGGAGATGGCAGATGTAGAGCTGAGTTTCAGGAATGCAGGAGGGACCGGGGCCAAAAAGTGCCATGTGTAAGGATTTGTCAGGGCTACGTGGAGCAGAAAGTTGGATCCCCAGAGATCCAGGGCTTTAATGAGCCTGGCTGTACTCAGGACCCATGACAGGACATCAGTGAAGGGAAACACCAGGAGGACAGGAGGCAAAAGTGTCGTCAGAGATGTGACAACAAGATTGAAGCAGTTTGGATGTGCTGTGATGGCAGAAATCAGAGGAATGGAAAGTTTTGGGGACTGGGAGAGAGAAGGAAAATCCTGGAGTTTTATCTACAGTCTTCTGATTCCATTGCACCCACCAGGTTAAAAAACACCCGGGAGTTCAGTGTTTCCATGGAATTGGGAGAGGCTTGTACCATGTAATGATGGCAAAGGCACTTATGGCCTTCAGGCTTCTGAAATAATGATTTTGCTGGAATGGCAGGAATACAGATTTGCAGAGAAAATACAGCACATTTTTTTGCCAAAAAGACACATTTTAAGCAGGGCAAATGTGTTCTGCTCCCACCAGGCATTTCCACAGCTGGACCCCAGAAGGGGCTATTGCTCTGAGCCAGAAAATCCTTTTGGATCCTCAGGTGTGTGTGGTGCTCCCAGGGAGGTTCTCCTGGGAAAAACCTGCAAGATCAGGAGAGGTTTTACCTGGAGCACCACACCCTGGCCCTTGCAGAGGGCACTAACATTAACCCTGCCCAGGTGGGAGGATGGTGTTTCTGCACAAGTCCTGCTTTTACTTTGTGATTTGGTGCTATTGGTTCCCTGTGTTTGAGACAAGGAATCAGAATGCTGAGAGGTTTACACTGAAACACATATTTGTCCACTGATGCAGAAGAGTCAAATAGCGGCTATGCTCGGCATGCTTTCTTTTAAATTTTTAAATTTTTAAAAAACCCAAAGCACTCTGAAAAACCAAAAGCAGGATAAAAAGCCCGTTCTGGAAATCTCATGTAGCACATTTCCAAACCCCTTTGAAGTTGATGTTGGACAGTCTCCAAGCTCAGGTTTGTTGCCTCTTCCAGAGTTTTGCTTCCTGCCCCACTGCCCATCTGTGCAGGACCTCTGGCTCAGGGCTGGACTTTCCTATTCCCATCTTAGGAAAAACCTTCACTGCAAAAAACAGTGGGAAAAGATGGGAAATCTGAAGTTTTGCCTTACACCTTTTCCTTAACTGCTCCAGCCATGTGCAGGATAATTTAAGTTTGATGATTCCCAGTCTGGATTCAGGAGCATTGCTTTTCCTACGGGTGTCACAACCTTTACATCATCTGAAAGAACAGATTTTGTGTTTTATGTGCCCAAAGGCTGCCCATAAAGGTTGGCAAGGGCAGTTGGCTAAGTCTGCACAAGGTCAGTGAGGATGTCCAATAATTGTCCTAACACTTTACCTGTTATGGAGCAATAATGAGAGTTTTTTTCATTATTTTCGGGTGAGTGAGCCTGGCAGATGCTGACAGCCAGCAGATGTGTAAAGTTCGAGGTGATTTGTAAGGGACCTGCTCATCTGACGCGTGGTAATTGCACTGTGGGACATTGTCACTCAGCCCCGTGTCCTGCTCCAGCAGAACGAGGTAAAGGTCAGTTCAAAGAGCTGCTGAGGCTCCAGGGGCAGCTCAGGCTGGAATTAAACCCCTCACATCCACTTCTCCCCTGGGCAGGTGCTCACAGCATGCCCAGGGCTGGGTGGGTGCCCCAGGTGTAGATTTAGGGATCATTTGGGTGACCAAGTGGTTATTTGGATCTGGAGTGGGCTTAAATCCCTCCTCTGGTAAGGCTGGTGTGGTATCAGTGCTCATCTGCCCACTTTTAATTTGGGGCTTGGAAGTTTGGGGTTTTTGGTGACTTTCTCCTTCAGTGTCTGTGTGCTGTGGCAGCTCCCTGGCAGAGCAGGCACTGGCAGCAGAGTGACACGCAGCTGGAGGGGACAGTGGCCTCTCCATCTGCTCCCTGCTGCCATCTCTGTTCTGCCATCCCCTCCAAGAAGGGCTCTGACAGGTTTCTTTTGCCACTGTAGCTGAGTTTGGCATTTGTCACACCCTGAAAGGTCAGGAGCTCCTCTGCCTCGCTCAGGTGAAGCTCCCCCATTCCTGTTCTCAGGCATTAGGAGTGGTGTGAGCAGTGAGGTTGGAAATTGGTGGATTTGGTGGAAAAAGTGTATTCGTCTGATGCTGAGCCTGCTGATGGTCCCAAACAGTGAGGGAGAGGCAGCCTTAGGATGCCCACAGTACCTGGGCCATGCTGGGTCCCTGCAGCACGGGCAGCAGTGCTGCCTGTCCTCGTGCCCTAATCAGGATCGATTGTCCTGGTGTTTGAATGGGATCTTTATCACAGCCACGGTGTGTGGAAGTCAGCTGAAGGCCTGATTGACTGGGTTTCCTGGGTGTGCCTGTGCTTCTGTAATGGACCTGCTGATAAATCTGTAATACCCTGGAGATCTCGATAAAACTTGTGTCGTGTATTTCATCTCCTGCTGCCTCATTCTTCTGCTCTTGCAGGTACCTAATCCCTTGCTCTTTATCTCATAAGACATCACATTACAAATCTTGTTCTTTATTCTTCTCCTGACATCCCACACTTGCCAGCAGTGGAGGTTGCAGTGCCTTGCCTTGCTTTGCTGGCAGTGTGAGCAGTGGGTCAGTTCAGAGGCTGGAGGTTTCCCTTGGAGCTTTCCAGCCCTGCAGCCTCACTGAGCACGTCATCACACTTGTGAGACACAGACCTTCCAGCCACTTTTAGTCTCTCCACATTCAAAACCTGCCAGGCCAGGGAAACTGAATGAGGGTTTTGCTGTAAACATGATTGGAGGCAGGTTTTCCCCCATGCAGAGCTGTTGGTAAAAGCTCTCCCTGATTATTTAAGCTGTGAGTTAGCAGCTGTTTGCTGGCCTGCAGGTTCTGCTCACCATCCCTGTGCTGAGCATCCAGGATGGATTCATCCCAATGTGTGTGATACGGAATGTACAGGTGAGTGTGTCTGTTCTGTGCAGGATTTGGCAGAGTTTACAGGGCTCTTTTCAGAGATGCTAATTAGGAAGGGAAAGGTGACTTTTCACTGGAAAGTTATATTTGTAGAAGTAAGTCTTCTCTAGAGTTTGTGGATTTTTGTTTCATTTAGTGTTCCAGGATATTTTTAAAAGTCCTTTTCATATGTCACCAGAGGACTCCCATTTTTTTTGTCCAGCTTGGCCCAACTCTTTGTAGACCTGATCCTGAGCATTTCCTGAGCTCATTTGTTGGGGTGTTAATTGCTGGTGACCACAAAGGCCTGAAGCAGTCTGGGATGTGTCCAGACTCCTGCTTTGCTCAGTCCTTTCAGAAGTGTCACTCTGGTTTCCATCCAAAATACTGAGAAAGAAGTGAAGTTTGTAGTACAGGAAAACTGAATCTGTGTTTTCACTGAGCTGACCTGTAGGGTGCTGGTTTGTCTGTGCAGGTTTGTGGTTGGTGTTGTCCCTG